CAATCCCCCTAAGCAGCAGTCCAATTCTTCCAACACCCAAATTTCCAAATCCTTTCGGCTTCTTCAGCCCCCAGTTTTAAGCCGATCATAGTGACCGTAAGCATACAAAACGACCACGGACCATGGCCGCACACTCATCAACACTCAACCATTCGGTCTTAAAAAAACCCAAATTCCTGACATCCCACAAACTCTTTCACACAACCCATCAACATCCATAGCACTCTCCCCTCTATCACCCCCACATTCCACAACCCATACAACATCATCTCATACGTAACTTTCTAACTCCAGCCAAACCTTCTATCATCCTCTCCAACTTCTTCCATACCTCTCTAGCAAACCCACACTCCCAGAAAACATGGCACACGCTCTCACACCCCACACAACCCTCTCTCGGACAACGTTCGGTATCGGACATTCCTCTCCTCCTCTGAAACATTCTTACAGGCAAACATCCATGCACCCCCATCCATCCAATATCCTTCTGTCTATTATTCATCTCTTCCATACAAATGTTCTTCCACATTCGCTTACATTCACTAACAGTCAACCCACCAATCCATTCCATCTGTTCACTCTCAGCCAATACTTTCGACACTTTTTTACAGTCATTCCACAAACTCCTCTCAACATCCTTCATCCCCAATTTTTCCATCCCTCTCTCGATCCTGACGTAAAACCATGGAGCTCTAAAGCTAACAGGTCTACGCAAATCACTCTCACCCCATCCATACTTCCTCAAAACGCTCCCTCCAACATACCTCACCATACATCCACTTAGACTCTCCTTCTTACAATCTTCACGCACATACCCACATACTTCACAAACAAAAATTTTTCCACATTCACCATACCTTTCCCACCATTCAACTTACATTTAACCACTTTCTCCCGTTTCAACTTTTTCTGTGCGGGAGGACCAAAAAAACAGAAACATCATCCTTACCAATTTCTTCAGCACCCTGTCCTGGGCGGGGAACACCAGGTACAGAAATAGCAAGATTGGCAGGATCACAGCCTTCACCACTAATACTTTACCCTCAAAGGATAAGGTCCTTAGAGACCAAAAGTTCAATTTGGATTGCACTCTGCCCATCACGTCTTCCCAACTTTCACGCCCAAACAAATCACAATCAAACTTGACACCCAGCACCCTCACGCTCCCCTTACACACCTTCCAATCACACTGACCACTCATCCTCCATTCACCAAAAAAACTTACATTCGCTCTTCTCCATATTCACCCTAAAACCACTTGCAGTACAAAAAACATTCAACAACAACTTTACACGCTTCAAACTCCTCTCATCCTTACATACCACAGTCACATCGTCCATGTATCCAATCACCTTCAAACTTCTCCCTCCACTCCCGGGTACCATCAAACCTCTCACACATTTATCTCTCTCAAGCATCCGCAACAGAGGCTCAATCACACATACAAACAAGACAGGGGACAAAGGGCACCCCTGCCTCACACCCGCTCTCACTTCCACTCCCTCTGTCAACCACCCATTCACCTGCACTCTACTCATGATACCCGCATACAGACACCTAATCCACTTCATCATCCTCTCAGGCACTCCCATTCTTTCCAACACTCGATACATGAACTCATGTGCAACATTATTGTAAGCTTTTTCAAAATCAATCGTAACCACAGCCGCCCCTTGCTTCCTCTCCTTACTATCCCACAAAACGTCCCGCAAACATCCCAAACTTTCAGCAATCATTCGCCCTGGCACCGCACACACCTGTTCCTCACCAACCATCTTACCAATCACTCCACGCATTCTTTCAGCCAGCACTTTCGCAATTATCTTGTAGTCAATATTCAATAAAGATATAGGCCGCCAGTTTTTGAGGTCCTTCCTGTCGCCTTTTTTGTACAATAAAACTATCAAACCTTCTGCCATACTTTTGGATAATCTCCCACTCTCCAGCACAGTCACACATACCTCATGCACACGCTTCCCGATCACCCCCCAAAACGCACGATAGAACTCCCCTGGCAAACCATCCATACCCGGAGTCTTTCCAGTCTTAATCCCATTCAAACATCTTTCAACTTCACTCACACTCACATCCTCACATAAAGCCATTCTTTCCTCCTCATCCAACTTCTTCTCTACCTCACCAATCACTTCTTCTTCCACATTCTCATCTCTCCTTCTTACAGAAAAAACAACTCACTATAGAACTTCCGTACTTCACTGCATACCCTCTTATTCCCACTTATTTCACTCCCACTCTCATCCACCACACTAACAATCTCATTCTTCCGTCTATACACTTTCTTAAAGAAAAGCCTTTGTACACCGTTCGTCATTTCTCTCACAACCATTCTGGCTTGTGCAATTATTGCCTTACCCTTCGCTTTCATAAAACTCCCAACCTTCACTCGTGCCTCTGCAATCTCGTTTCTCACATTCTCGCCCCATTCGCTTATTTCCAACAAATATGTCAACCGCTTCTGCCACCATTCATACTCTTCACGCTCTCTTCTCACTTTCTCACACCCTTTCCTTACAAAAAACCGCTTAGTCATCATTTTTACCCCATTCCCACCATTCAACTATACTTTCAAACTCCAATCGTTTTCTCTCCCATCTCTCAAACAAACTCCCATACTCTCTTCTCACATTCACATCATCTAGCAAATCCACATTCAGTTTCCACACTCCCCTACCATACACCTTATCTGACTCCATACTCACTTTGCATTTGATTCGGCCATGGTCCGTGAACGCTACTGGCTGCACCACAAAGGATTCAGGACTGAAGTCTCTGGAGACAAAAAGAAAGTCTATACGTGAGCCTATGTTTCGGCCTTCAGCAAAAAAGGTATGCCCCTTGTTTTTCCCCCAACATCAACCAATCCAAAATCTGAACAAATTTCTAATAAAATTTTTACCCCGACTTATCCACTCCCCCTCCCCCCACCACCCCCACCCCTCCTCCTATCCCCAGCCCCAACTGTACAATTGAAATCACCCAAGACCATTAAGGGTTCACGACCGCCGCAAAAAAATCTCAGGTTCTCAAACAATTCAATGCGTTCCTGTCGTTTTGTGGAGGCATAGACATTTAACACCCGGAACACCAAACCATCCACCTCCACCCACACTAACACCGCCCTCCCCTTGCAATATGCACAACTTTCAATATTTTGAAGCGCCAGCCCTTGAACAGGATTCCAATCCCAGCATTGCCATCAGATCCCTCTGACCACACCGCGGGGCCGTGCGTCCATGAATCTCGGTGCGGCTCCTCTTTTAAGTTGCACTCCTGTAGGCATAAAATATCTCCAGGTACTAGAGACAAGTATTTCAATACAGCTGCCCGTCTTGGTGCCGATCTTATACTTCTGACATTTAAAGAGGAGACAGAGATATTCATTAGACAGAAAGAAATTTAACAACAATCAGGGCTATGCTGTCAACTAGCAAGCTTCTTGCTTCTACACCTCCTCCCTTTGTTTGTCACAGCAACCCCTGCGACTCCTCCCATCCCACCCACCCCCTCCCCTCCATCAGAAGGATGGAGTTTGAAGCCCATAATTGCCTGTAAATTTTCAACATGGCTGCAACTGGAAAAGGACTCCGACGATTGGATAGAGGAATCAGAGTCTAACTCCAGACTTGGAAACTCCAGTATATTCTGTGAAGCAGGTAAGGACTCTTGACTCTCTTGCTTCCTCTTCAGGGTATCGCAGGACAAGTCCATCTCTTCAACTGTACTTATTGCCCCACCACCCTCTACCGCAGTAGCTAGCGGGGGCTCAACGGTCCCAACTGCCAGGACCCAATCAGCCAGGCTTATTGCCCCACCACCCTCCACCACAGTAGCCAGCGAGGTTTCAACGTTCCCAACTGCCAGGACTCTATCAGCTGTACTCATCGCCGCCCCACCACCCTCCACTGCAGTAAACAACGGGGGCTCAAAGGTCCCAACTGCCAGGACCTGAGCTTCCACTGCAGTATCATCAGGCTTGGGCACCTCTGCCTGACCTGCCTCCTCCTTCTCTGCAGGAACCTCCACTGTTTCTGCACGGGTCACTCTCCTAGCCACCTCAGCATATGAGGGGGCCCTCCCACCAACCGCCCCACTGATATTGTGACCAGAGTCCTCAGAGGGCACATTCAGCCGGGGACACTGCCGGGCCAAATGCTCGCTTCCGCACAAATGGCATTTTCTGCCCTCCTGGCACTCAGCCGTTTTATGTCCGGGACGATAGCAATTCCTACAGACAATTCCAACATCGCACTGATCCCGGGTGTGCCCAAAGGAGAAGCAGCCCCTGCAGAATTGCGGCTGCCCCGGGTACCAGAGCACACCCCTATTAGCCCCTATGGAGAAAGCCTGAGGGGGGTGCATGCAGCCGCCAATGCCTCCATCATCCTTCTTAAGTTGAACATAGTAACGGCGGTGACCATTAAAGGTTCCCAAAATGTTAGTTTGGTTCACTCCAACCGACACAAATGAACAATATTTATGCAGAAAGGTCCTCACCTCGTCTTCTCGTACAAATGGATTGTACATTTGGACAGTTAATGGCATCCGGTGTTTGGACTCATTCCTCAGAAAAGAAATTCCCTCTAATTGCGGGTCATCAGCCTTTTCATTCCGTCTTAGCATACACGTCTGCAGGCCCGCCAGCCGAAAAAAAGGTCACATCAAACATCCCGCTAGATGGGAAAGCTTGCAGACAAAAAATGCTTTCAATGGGCATTCCGAGTAAATCCATGATGATCTTTTTCTGGATATAATAGAGCCCGCAGTCAGCACGGCGACTCTCTGGAACTAACACCCGAATGGTGTTAGGGGCATCTGGTGGCACCGCTGCCATACTCCTACCGACACAGGACAACCCACTTCTCCCAACCCCGCAAGGGGAAGGTTCCGTGGGCGATCACAACTCTACAGGGTTCCAGGCAGCACCACCTCCAATAACACAATACAGGGCCCATGGGAAAACATACACCAAGGCCCAGAGCACAGACCTGGTCATACCTTATATACACCTTTCTGTAATCAGCCCCAGGTTTGGCTGATTGTGAGCTTCTGGCTGCTAAGAGCACCCGCTGGTCAGCTCTGGTACTGCAGCCCACACGGCAGGTGAGTTCCACCACCAGTGCTGAGAGCACCCGCTGGTCAGCTCTGGTACTGCAGCCCCACACGGCAGGCGAGTCCCACCACCAGTGCTGAGAGCACCCGCTGGTCAGCTCTGGTACTGCAGCCCACACGGCAGGGGAGTCCCACCACCAGTGCTGAGTCCATTCCTGACAGCACTAGGCCAAAAGGTACTAAAGACACAAGGCACTAGGCCAAAACATACTAAAGACACAAGGCACTAGGCCAAAACTTACAAAAGAATGAAGACACAGGCAGGCATTTTCCCCATAGCTCAGCTGCCCCCCACCCATGGTACTGTCCAGCTTACCATTCCTTCTCTTCATAACAGCTAGCTTATTAGTCCTACAAATGCACATAATTGACCAACAGGATTTGTCCCATAGACTTTAACTCAATTTCTGGCAAAGTTCTGATTCTCCAATTCTCTAACAGAATTCAGCAAACCCAATGTGAACTGAAGCAGGGTAGATCAGTTCACTAATTAGAACTTCTATCAGCTTTGTATTGCTGTCTGTGTCCCCACTGGGAAGGTTCACCCCATTTGTCTTGGTGACCATTGTCATCGTGAAAGAAAGTGATGAGAAATCCAAAATGCTACAGCTGTCACCAGAATATGGGAGAAAAGTTTAAAAGTGCTCCAGAGCGAACTCCCTAAGGAAGGATTTCCTGTCATTTAGGAGATACTTCCCCTGACTTCCTGTTAGAACAGGACAAGAAGTTGCAGAAAATCTCCCCAATGGGGCACAAAGCAAGAAAACAAACAACAGAAAACCTATGGGTTTTAACCCTTCCCTATTCTATTTATCCAAAGATACATTGTAAACGGTGTTCTGCTAAGGCAGCACATAGCACGAATCCTTTTTTATGAGATCATTATATGTTCTGTGTAACGGAACCGGACCCCAACTGCACTATGGTATTTCCATTAGACTCCCACTTCCCTGTCCGAACACAGATCCACGGACACCACCGCTGACCATACAAGACGAGACAGCACCAGACTTGTATTAAGACAGGAAATAGACAGCACCAGGCTTCTTAAGACAGGAAGTAAAACTGCTTTATTTTAGCACAAACACAAGATATATACACAGGGCGGGGAAATACAACCAGTTGTTGTCAGGACTTGGATCCCACACAGTACAGGGCTCAGGTATCATGCAGTCTGAGTCCTTAGGTCCTACACAGTGTGGGGCTCAGGTTAAGGGCTCAAATCTTACACAGTTCAGGGGCTTGAGTTCCACACAGACCGAGGGTTCAGTTCCCACACAGACTTGGATCTCAGGTTTTACACAGTCCTGGGATTCAGATCCCATGCAAATAAGAGAGTTGGGGTCCCACACACACTCTGGGATCTCAGGTTCCATACAGTCCAGGGGTTTGGTTTTCACACAGCCCATGGCTTGAGACCCACCCAGCAAAAATCCAAAATAGTCTGGGGTCTTAGGTTCCATACTGTCCATGGGGCTTGGGTTCTGTACAGTCCAGGGGCTCGGGCTCCATACAGTCCAGGGGCTCGGGCTCCATACAGTCGAGGGGTGTGAATCCTACACAGTTCAGGACTTAAAACCCACTCAGTACAGTCCAGGGGCTCAGGGTCCATACAGTCCAGGGGCTCGGGCTCCGTACAGTCCAGGGGCTCAGGATCCATACAGTCCAGGGGCTCAGGCTCCATACAGTCCAGGGGTGTGAATCCTACACAGTTCAGGACTTTACACCCACTCCGTACAGTCCAGGGGCTGGGCTCCGTACAGTCCAGGGGCTCAGGCTCCTAACAGTCCAGGGGCTCGGGTTCCGTACAGTCCAGGGGCTCGGGCTCCGTACAGTCCAGGGGCTCGGGCTCCGTACAGTCCAGGGGCTCGGGCTCCATACAGTCCAGGGGTGTGAATCCTACACAGTTCAGGACTTTACACCCACTCCGTACAGTCCAGGGGCTGGGCTCTGTACAGTCCAGGGGCTCAGGCTCCTAACAGTCCAGGGGCTCGGGTTCCGTACAGTCCAGGGGCTCGGGCTCCGTACAGTCCAGGGGCTCGGGCTCTATACAGTCCAGGGACTCGGGCTCCATACAGTCCAGGGGCTCGGGCTCCGTACAGTCCAGGGGCTTGGGCTCTGTACAGTCCAGGGGTGTGAATCCTACACAGTTCAGGACTTTAAACTCACTCAGTACAGGCCCAGAGCTCAGGTCCCACACAGTCTGGGGCTTGGAACCCCAGAGATCACAGGCTCAGGTCCCACACAGTCTGGGGCTTGGAACCCCACAGATCAGAGACTCAGGTCCCACACAATCTGGGGCTTGGAACCCCACAGATCAGAGGTTCAGGTCCCACACAGTCTGGGGCTTGGAAGCCAACAGATCTGAGCCTCAGGTCCCACACCGACTGGGGCTTGGAACCCCACAGATCAGAGGCTCAGGTCCCACACCGTTTGGGGCTTGGAACCCCACAGATCAGAGGTTCAGGTCCCACAAAATCTGGGGCTTCGAACCCCACAGATCAGAGGATCAGGTCCCACACAGTCTGGGGCTTCGAACCCCACAGATCAGAGCCTCAGGTCCCACACCGTCTGGGACTTGGAACCCCACAGATCAGAGGCTCAGGTCCCACACAGTCTGAGGCTTGGAACCCCACAGATCAGAGGCTCAGGTTCCACACAGTCTGGGGCTTGGATTTCCACAGATCAGAGGCTCAACTCCCACACAGTCTGGGCCTTGGAAACCCCGCAGACTGAGTGTCAGGAATGGACTCACCACTGGTAGTGGGATTCACCTGCCGTGTGGGCTGCAGTACCAGGGCTGGCCAGCGGGTGCTCTCAGCAGCCAGAAGCTCACTCCTGCAATTAAGTCATCACCTGAGGCTGATTGCAGGAGGTGTATTTAAGGAGTGGCCAGGCCTGCAGTCAGGGCCTTGGTGCATAGTTTCCCTTGCCCCTGTATCCTGACTGCTTGAATCCTGACTCTGCACGAACTCTGTCTGTACCGACCTCGGCTATTCCTGACTACTCTTCCGCCTGCTCCTTGTACCTTGCCTGCCAGTTTGCTACTGACCCGGCCTGCCCGACTACGTTTAGTATTGTCATTATTATCTGTTGGAGGTTTGGTTTGTTTGCACTGTGTTTATGTTTAGTCTTGCACTGCGTTTATGTATTGTTTAGTCTTTAATAAATTGTATTGTTTATACTATACCTGAAGCCTGCGTTTCCCTGTGTCAGTCCACACATCTCTGGTCATACCGGGAGCCCGGACACTGAGCCCTTAGGACCCACACAATTCAGAGCTCAGGTTTCACACAGTCCGAGGCTCGAGTCTCACACAGTCCAGAAACTGGATCCTAAAGCCCCCAGGCAGAATGTTACCCAAATCCCTGACTGTGGGACCAAAATTTGCTCTCCTGACAGCTTACCAAGTTCGGATGCCTTTGCTTGAGCATCTGAAAATGTGTGTTGCCTTGTAGACCCTCTGGCACCAGGGCTGTCTGAGTCTCTGGCCTGAAACATGCATGCAACCAGTGACACCACAACTTCTGCTACTAGTCTGACAGATCCCCAAGACCACAGATAGTTGGCAGCATCTCCAGATGCTGCGGAAACAAACCAATCTAAGTACATCAGAGACAGCAGAGTGAGTACCTGTAAGCAGGGGCTGGGTGTAGAGTGCCAGCTCCTGTGTCTTGGCAGGGGATTAGGTTCGGTTAGGGCAGTGTTTCTCAACTCCAGTCCTCATGGACCCCCAACAGGTCATGTTTTCAGGATTTCCATTATTTTGCACAGGTGATTTGATCAGTTTCACTGCCTTAGTAATTACCACAGCTGTTTCATCTGAGGGAAATCCTGAAAACATGACCTGTTGGGGGTCCATGAGGACTGGAGTTGAGAAACACTGGGTTAGGGGAAGGGGCTAAAAAGACTAAATGTAAATTGTTTTACAGCATACTTGTCCTTTAAATGATGACATTGTTACATTGTTGTCACAGCCAGTGCGTGGCTGGCGGAGCTCCGGCATTCACGGAATTTATAAGACAGACGCAGCAATTTTCCAAAGCCGTCTCTCTCTTTGAGCCTAACCCCATCGCACACAATGCAATTCCAGGGGGAATCCATCTTCCCACTTCCAACAGTCATAGGATGTTCTGTCATTATTACCCCGAGGTCACCCCGACTTCAACTGAAATTCCAGCTACGGGTGGATGCTGGTGGGTGGAGAAACGTTACAAATCTGCTCCCTCTACATTGCTGAGCTCTTTCTGAAAATGCTAGTGGCCTGGCTGCCCTGATAGGGGGCGCCTGGTTCATTAAGTATCCCAGGGTCAGCCCGGTGAGTGGTATTTTCAGGAGGAGCTCAGCACTGGCTGCCTGCCTATTACTCTGATGTCAGGTTTACTGTAAAGTGATGGAGAGGAGAAAGATAAATGAATCATAGAATGTGGCAGCCAATCAGAGACAGCGGTGAGTACCTGTACATAGAGGCTGGGTGTAGATTGTCAGCTCCTGTGTCTCAGCTCCCGGGGCTGTGTGCGGAGTGACAGATCTGGAAGTCAATCTGTGATTTCCTCTCCTCTGACCACTCCCTGTATCAGTAACCCTCTCATCTCCTAATCTCATCTCCCCCAGCCTCTCCTCCTCCGCAGCAGCAAAAGGCTGACTGCCAGCGGCATGACACCAGGATTCCCGGTGTCACCAGGAGAACAGTGAGATCTTCATTGCTGTGTCCCCATCAGGGAGATCCACCCTCTCTTTTCATCCTGGCGATGGGAAATACAAAATGTTACAGTTGTCACCAGTACAGGAAGCGAGGGGAAATCTTCCAACCCCCCCCCCCCCCATTACTTCTTCCTTGGGTACAGGAGGAGAAGGGAAATCCTTCCAACAGGAAAAGCTGAAAAAAATAAATAAATACACTTTGAAAAAGAAGTTTAATCTGTGTATATTTTTCATTCCCTGATTCCTCCCCCCTCCACCCCATCACATAACTACAACCCAGGGATAACTACAACCCCATCACATAACTACAACCCCTGGACTGCAGCGGGCATTCTGACACTGGGGAGAACTGACTTGGTGTCACTGACAGGGGCGGACTGACAACTCATGGGGCCCTCTGGCAATAGGGGATCATGGGGCCCCTGTGTCCTTGCCCAAACTCAAAAAAGCCTATGAAAAAGGTACCAGGGGCATCTCATGGGGCCCCCTACTGACCCCGGGCCCTCGGGCAGTGCCCGCGTTTTCAAATGGTCAGTCCGCCCTGCTACAACCTTTCTGGTTTTATTACCTTTGCCCACTTGCCCTCCGCCCTATAGTAGATGTACTGCTACAGGGAGGCAAGGCTGCGCAAATCGCGTATATATATATATTTATTATTATTTATTTCAGGTACTTA